AAAAAAAAAAAAAAAAAAATAGAAAAACTAGCCAGGAGTGGTGGTACATGCCTATAGCTGTGGATAACACTACTGCACTCTAGGTGGGACAACAGATTGAGACTCTGTCTCAAAAAACAAGAAAATTTTTTCCCACACATCCAGAACTGAACTCCTGATCTGCTTTATGCACAGTCTTCCCTATTTCAGACCACGGCAACTCCATGAACTTCCAGTTGTTCAGATCAGGGCTGTCCAACAGAAGTCAATGTGAACCACATATGTAATTTTAAATTTTCTAGTAATCATTTTAAAAAAAATTAAACTAAACCAGTAGAATTAATTCTAATATGTTTTGTTTAACCCAAAATATCCCAAACATTTATATTCTAGTATGTAATCCATACAAAAATTATATGACAATTAATATCCATATCTGCGATATTCATCAAGTATTGCTTTTTCTCACACCAAGTCTTCGAAATCTACCAGATGTTTTACATTTACACCTACTAAGCACAGTCATATGCTCAGGAATTACATGTGGCCAGTGGCTACCATACTGGACAGCACAGGTTCAGACTGAAGCCCTCAAAGCCATTCTTGACTGTTTGTTGTTTTTTTTTTTTTTCTGAGACAGAGTCTCACTATGTTGCCCTTGGTAGAGTGCTGTGGTATCACAGTTCACAGCAACCTCAAACTCTTGGGCTTAAGCAATTTTCTTGCCTCAGCCTCCCAAGTAGCTGGGACTACAGGCACCTAACACAATGCCCAGCTATTATTATTATTTGGTTATAGTTGTCATTGTTGTTTAGCAGGCCTGGGTCTGGTTTGAACCCTCCAGCCCCAGTATATGTGGCTGGTGCCCTAACCACTGAGCTACAGGTGCCAAGCCTTGACTGCTCTTTTTCTCTCACACCTGAAGTTAATTTGACCATTTGACTTCAAAATATAGCCACTTCTTGTCATCTCTACTACCATCGCTCTCCTTGATTGCAACAGTGACCTCCCAATTGGTCTCTCTGCTTCTGCTTTTGCCCCTAGAGACCATTTCCAACATAGCAACCAGAGGAATCCTTTTAAAAGTCAACCCCCCTCCAATGGCTTCTCATTTCACTTAGAATAAAAGCAAAAGTGCCTACAAGGTTCTATAGGTTCTGGCCCCTTTCACCTCTCTGACCTCACCTCCTACCACTCCTCCCATCCCAGCCCTCTGCACCAGCCAAGCCACCAGGCCTCCTCATTGCTCTGGATTCCCCCCTTGGGCACAAGCCTTCGGCCACTCTTCTCCTAGATATCTTCATGGCTAACTTCCTTACCTCCTTCAAGTTTTTGTGCAAATGTCATCTTCTTAATGTTCCAATAACTCCTCTTTTTTTTTTTTTTTTTTTAGAGACAGAGTCTCCGTTTGTTATCCTCAGTAGAGTGCTGTGGCATCACAGCTTACAGCAACCTCCAGCTCTTGCGCTTAGGCGATTCTCTTGCCTCAGCCTCCCAAGTACCTGGGACTACAGGCACCCGCCAAAACACCTGGCTATTTTTTTGTTGCAGTTTGGGCGGGGCTGGGTTAGAACCCGCTACCCTCGGTATATGGGGCCGATGCCCTACTCATTGAGCCACAGGCGCTGCTCTAATGTTCCAATAACTCTTAATGGAAATTGCAGTCACCTCACATTGCCCTCCAGCCCTCTTACATTGCTTTGTTTTTTCCATGGCACTTAACACCTTTTAACATATCACAGTATATAACTTATTATGTTTATTGTTAGCTTTCTTAAGGGCAGGGATTTCTATGTACACTGAGCCATTCCAAGCAGCTACATCTGGCATGTGATAGCTGCTTGGTAAATATTTGTTGAATGAAAGAATGAAAAGCACATCTCCCAATTTTTAATTATATATCCATTATTTTGTCTACTCTGTGGCACTGAGTCACGATCTGCCTGAGAGTGATGCTGGGCCCATCGTATTCCCCTCTTCTATCACTACCCTACTGAATACTCACCTGTGTTCAATTCTGTCCTGACCAACACCCCTGCCCTCTCTTCTGTCTGGAGTCCCTGGAATCCCTACAGGCTGGACACCATAGTACAGGCAACCAGGATCCATGATATGCACTGGCAGGAGGAGGAGCAGCAGAGGGAAGCGGAGATCAGGTGGGAGTGTTTGAGGTCCTGAGGGCACTATCTCTCTCCCCTCAACCCATGAGAACCCACCTACCTGTGCCTGTTGTGGGTCTTAGAGCAGGGATAGGGGCAGCGGTCTGGGAGCTGTCTGGGGCCCTTAGCGGAAAGGTCTCTTGGTTTCTAAGGGACAGAGAAGGAAGGATAAACCTGCATGCCCTGCTACCTTGTCCCTTGTTCTCCCATCCTCCTCCCCAGAGCATCAGGTCCCTTGAGAGCCAATGCCACTCACATGTCCTGAGCTGCCTGGGCCCCGCCTCTTAAGTCCAGACCAAAGTAGATGGCATTGGGCATCATCTCCATGGTATTCAGGGTTGAAGTCTGCTTAGAGGAGGAGGTAGGGAAAGGAGGGGAGCGTGGTCTGGACTCCAGGCTCAGCCCAGGCCTCTGGGTGGTAGCAGGGCTGTTGAGACCAAACACTGTCCTGGGCTTGGGCACAGGTTTGGAGAGGTGTGCTGGGGGAGCTGGGCTGGGGGATGGCTCCATAGTGCTGTTTGATTTGAGATCCAGGGAGCCCTCCACAGTGCCTATCTGCAGCAGGCGCAAAATGCGTTTCCGGTGCCCTGTGGCACTGATGCCCAACTGCCTCAGCTCCTCATGGCCCAGGGCCCGGGCTGCACCCGCTGTAGCCAGGCCATGCCGTCGGAACGTGTCTGCATACTGCTCCAGGTGTACCGTGGCCAGCCACACAGCGATGTCCAGGTCCTGAGGGGCAGCCATGGGGGCTCAGGCCATTGCTGGGGGGAGGGGCAAGGTGAAGGGAGGGCTCAAGCTGAGATTCTCTGTCCCTGCCCCAAAGTCTGTGGGCTGGAAAGAGGGACCAGCCTCCAGTCTGCCTCCAAAGTCTGCCTCCAAAGAAAAATGCCCAAAGGCTTGTGAACTGAAGGTAAAGCCATCTTAGAACATCAGAAACAGCCTCTCATTACAGGAGGGTCCTTTCATTTGCAGTTGAGGAAATGAGGCCCAGAGGGGGAGGGTCTTGTCCCAGGTTCACAGCAAATCCTTGCTAGCGTTGGCTTCTAAGCTCCTGCCCACACTGGGTCTGGGTCGAAGCCCTCCCCTGCCTTAGTGCACACTCAATTGAGTAAGTGTGGGACAAGACACGGAAACCCTGTGGGGTATGGTGAGGTAGGAAGGTGGGGAGGAGGGACCAATAGTGTGGCTAGGTCCAGCTGGGTCATGAGATGGGGGGAGGGACTAGGCTAGGTAGGAAGGAGATGCAGACCCCACTCTCACTGGAGTCCAGAGCAGAGGTACAAGCTTGCTATCCCAATCCTGGTTGCTTCCAGTTCCTCCTCCCCTTCCACCTATTGTCTATGCTCAGACTTCCTTCCTCTCCCTTCAGTCCTGGCCGCCCCCACATCCTGCCTGGCTTGGTCAGGCTGCCCAGAGAGCCTTCACCGGCCCCAACTTGTGGTGTACTGGCCCTGGACAGAGGCTATTTGGGGACTAGGATGCCCAGAGAGATGAGGGGCCAGGGCCAACAATTACCCCCAGAGTCTTCTCTGCTCTCTGCTCACACGCATGTGCACACACACCCTGGATGGACAGTGTGAAATGACTTCCCCCACCTCTACTTTCTCCAGGCCTTCCTTTCCTGAGCCTGGCTTTTCCCTACCCATTCCCTTGGGCTCTGGCCTCTGTGCTCTGTTTCATTTGGCCAACCTGACCCTGACCCTGGTCTATTCCCTAGACCTATCTCTGATTCTGACTCTCCTGAGTTTTATTTCTGCCTTGTCTCTATATTACTTTCCCACTTCATCTCTACCTCTAAATCTATTCTTGTCCCTCTCCTTGTGCCACATTGTTTTGCTCTGTCATTAGCCTGTCCTTGCCTCAGTCTTCAATTCTAATTAGGTCTTAAGTGGCGTCTGCGTCTCTGGCCACCTCTGACCCTGAGATTCTGTTTCTCCCTCTCTGCCTGTACGGCTCTCTCTCCGTTGCTCTCATGTTGGGTCCTTAACCAGGACTCCCTCTCCATTCCGGCCATCAGTTTCTGGCCTCCCTCTGTCTCGCTCCTGCTGGGCCCCATCCCCATACCAGGGCCCGGGTGCGGAGCCTCAAGCCCTGACTCAGGGCCAGGTTCCCCGGTGACTCAGGCCCGGACCGAGGGCACGAGACTGGGAGCCTGGAGCTGCTCGCCACCGGACAGGAGTGGCGGGGGCGGTCCGGGCAGTGGCGGGTAGCACGAACTGCGACTTGGGAGGGGCAAGGAGGGAGGGGGCAGAGGCCGGGCAGCAGGAGGGAGGGGCGGGTCGTGGCGGGGAGGAGGAGGAGGAGGAGGAGGGCGCCGGGATGGAGGGGGCCCTGGAGCCCACGAAGGCCCTCGAGGAGGTGATGGGGAGGAGTCTAGGAAGCAGGGGACCGGGGGAGCGGGGGTCCTCAACTCACCGTGCGATCGCCGTCCTCTCCCCGGTACCCGCCGCGCTGTCTGAAGCTCCGGGTCCCGAGGCGCCGGCCCCGCCTCCCCTTAGCCCTCCCCCCGACGGGGCCGGCCCCGCCCCGCCTGCCCGTTCCCTCCGCAGGGCCCCGACCACTCCTTGTGCAAGCGCTGGCCTTCAAAGGGTTTGGGCTCCTTACCCAACCGCCACGCTTATCTCTGGGTCTGCCCTGCTCTGCCCTCTCGCAGGCAGAGCAAGCAACCAGAACACAGTTGAGGGCCGAGACAGCTTTAGGGCTAGGGACCGAGAGGCAGAGACCGGGACTGGCGATTGGGACTGTGGTGGAAACGGCAAAAGGGAGAGCCCTGCGGAGGATGTCTGCGCATCCCCTACGCTGTTCCCATCCCCTCCAGTCCTGCCAAAGGGGAGGCGGAATGAGCGGAGGTTAGGCTCCCAGGGGACTTCTTACACGCCCAGCAGGGTGGCTGGACCCTGGCACTCAGTGTTATGGGGAACAGAAGCTGGACATCCAGAAGTCGTGGGTCGCCACAGCTTTCCAAGCTGGGGAGCCCGTCTCTGGAGCCCAGTGATCAGGCCTGGGCCAGCAGTCACCAGTGAGGCCCAGATGAGGAGTCCCCATCTGCTTCCCTCTCCCCGAGGGCCAAACCTAGGCTTTTTCAGAGGGATGATGGTCAGCAAAGCAACATCCCTACTTTCAAATTAAGGCTGGGAGCTACCTTTTTAGGGATAGGGCTGGTGCCCTGCAAGTACAGTGACCAAGCAAGCAGAGTTTTCATTATTGGGAGAAGCCCCTTCTCTCCACCCTCCCAACCTAAAATTGCAGTAGGGGTAGGTGGGAGGCCTGAGAAGAAATGGCTCCTTTCCCCTCCCCCTTCTTGGTGGATCTCTGGTCCTGGAGCCTGTCCTCCAGAGCTTGAGCACTTCCCCCAGAGCAGGGCCAGGGTTAGCTGTAGTGTGGTGTTGGGGGTGGAGGGGACGCTGGCCGGCTGTGTTTTCCTGTTTGTGTGAGAGGAAGTTGGCTGTGAGTCAGCAGACACAGGAGCTGTCAGTAGCTAGGGGAAGACCCCTGCCTCTGGGGAAGATGAGGGGAGTGTGGGGATGTGGTTCCCACCTCTTCCAGCTGTCATTTTCAGCCTCCTGGAGACCCACTGTCCCAGGGCCTTTCCTTTGAAAAAGAGAATGATAATAACAGTAATTAATGATTCAAATGGCCATAATGATGGCCACCAATTATTGAGAGCTGACCGTGCCCCAGGCCCTATGCAAACATTGCTTTGCAGACTTCAATTAATCCTTACAAATACCCCTATAAATAGGAAATTTTACCAATTCTATTTTACAGATAAGAAGACAGAGAGCATTAAATAACTTACTTGCTCAAGGCACTGAACCTAGCAAATAGCCAACTCTCCAAGCCTACATCTTAAATACCAAGCTCACCTTCAGCCCTGGACAGGACCCCTATAACCCAGGTCCCTTTTTGTAGATGGGCAACTGTGATAGCCATCATAAATCTCCTCAAGGCCTTCAACTACAAGAAGTGAAATTAGCTAAGAGCCCCAGCTGCTTCTCTCCAAAACCCATCAGCTCCTGCTCTAAGATCAGCTTAGAGCTCTAAGCCCACTGGGCTGCTCCCAGCAGATGATAGAGCTCAGCATAGATGCTAAAGCAGGCCTCCTCATTTCTGGGAGATAGGGGACTCCTCTGACAGCTGACTTTGCTTCCAGAATTTCCCGATGGTCTGGCAGCAATAAGGGCCTTGCCACACTTTCCCTTGCCTACATGGTGGTCTCAGATTCTTCCTCTCAATCTTTGTTTCTTCCTCTCTCTTTCACAGCTCTCCCACCCCCAGGTTCTCTTCCTCTAGGAAGGTCTTTCCCCTAATCAAATCCTTGCACTTTCCATCCTACTTTGGCATCTTCTTCTTGGAGGACTCAGATTAACTCATCAAGAGAAGAGGGTAGGAACAGATAGTACAGGGCACAGGAAACTTTCAGGCATGTGTTCTGGGAGTCCTGGTCAGGGGTTAAGTATAAGAGTTCTGAACCTTTTTCTGTACCGTGTTCCCTTTTGGCAGTCTGGGGGAAATATTATGGCCCTATCTCAGAATAATGTTTTATAATGCATAAAATAAAATATATAGGATTACAAAGGAAGCCAATTATATTGCAATATAGTTATAAAACTATTTTTAATGTGATATAGCAGTATATGTGCTTTTTTATTAATGCTTTAAATAAGATCTAGTGGTAGGGTTGATACCTCCCATAATTTTGAAGCAGTGGTGAGCATAAATGATATTTCAAAAGATCTATAATACTTTAATAAGATATGAACATATATGTGATTTCTATTGTGACAAAGCCACAGTTATGGCTAACCTGACTGGCTCCTTGCTATTGTTATAATGGCAGGGAATGTTAAGTTTCAGCTAGAGTTTAGCAAAAATGGTATTTTTTCTCATCCAAGTTCATTGACTTCAAGTTAAGGGCACCAGAGCCAGAGGATCAGGAGAGGGGGACCCTGCTTTCTCCTCCAAGCTCCACTGCCTTTCTTTGGCTCAATGATCTGGGGTGAATGAGGGCTTGTAGCCTTTGGGTTGTTCCTTCCTTTTCTCTTTCTTCCTCGCTCTCTTAGCTTCTCTTCTATCTCTAGCTCCGTTCCCCTCTTTCTGTTTGTCTCTTTTTCTGAGTGTATCTCTATGCTTCTTCGCTTTCTGAATCTCTTTGTGGTTTTTGCTGTGTGTTTATCTCTCTTTCTTCCTCCATGTCCATGCTGTATACTCATAATGTGTTGCTAAGGTGATAGAGGATCTCTGTAGCCACTGACAGGGCACAATGGTGCACAGAGAACCCTTTGGATCTAGTCACTGGGAGATACAAGAGGGGATGGGATGTCGCTGGGCCTCAGGCTCTGGTCTGGGAGGCACAGTCTTTTCTTACTCATCCCCTGTTTTAGTCTCAGTCTTCATAAGGGCAGAAACAAGCCAAGACAGTAATGGATGAGAATGAAGGCAGAGGACAGAGGCCCCTCAGGCTTTACAACAGTGTTTTTCAACCTTTTCTGTCTCCTGGCACACTTGAACCTATAAACTTCTACCATACACTTATGTTGATTAAAAAAAAAAAAGAGTAAGGGCGGTGCCTGTGCCTCAGTGAGTAGGGTGCCAGCCCCATATACAGAGGGTGGCCTGTTTGAACCCAGCCCAGCCAAACTGCAACAAAAAATAGTCAGGCGTTGTGGTGGGCTCCTGTAGTCCCAGCTACTCAGGAGGCTGAGGCAAGAGAATTGCCTAAGCCCAAGAGCTGGAGATTGCTGTGAGCTGTGACATCATGGCACTCTACCAAGGTCAACAAAGTGAGAGTCTGTCTCTCTAAAAAAAAAAAGAGTAAAAAAATGCTGTGCTTTGAGCATCAGTACAAACTAATTTAATCAATGATCTTAAAAATTTTCAAGGCACACCTAAGATCCTCTCACAACACACCGGTTGAACACACTCACAATAACACTGGTTGAAAATCACTGCTCTAGGCTCAGTGCCCATAGCACAGTGGTTAGGGCGCCAGCCACATACACCGAGAGTGGCAGATTTGTACCCTTCCCCGGGGCAGCTAAACAACAACAGCAATTGCAACAAAAATAGCCAGGCATTGTGGCAGGAGCCTGTAGTCCCAGCTACTTGGGAGGCTGAAGCAAGAGGATCACTTAAGCGCAAAAGTTTGAGGTTGCTGTGAGCTGTGACACCATGGCACTCTACCAAGGCAACATAGTGAGACTCTGTCTCCAAAAAAAAAAAAATCAGTGCTCTAGAAGATAATTACAGCTTTTGTGATCCTGCCCATGTGTACAGGGGCTGTAGTCTAGGGATCCAGGTATCAACAGATTCCTTTGCCCTCCTCCATGCCCCGGGGGACACTGACCAGGTCTTATGTGAGGCCAGAGGGACTTGCATACCCAGAACAGAGTAAGTCTATAGTAGATGTCACCCCTGGCCTTTGGTAAGTGGGCAAGAAGATGGTCTGTGGGCTCAAGGAAGGGGAGGATTGATTTCCGGAGTTTGATTTTTGAATACTCAAGAATAGGGTAGACAACCAGGTCAACTGTTCCCTTGTAGGAGTGTGTGCCTCCAAGATGATTTAGGGGGAAAGGGCCAGTGGTCTAAGAAATTGGAGAAAGGGAGTGGTCACAGAGCATTGTGAAAGAGCCAAGGTACCCTCAGATAAGCAGGAGGGGGGAATAGTAGTGTGAGAGGTAAACCTGATCACAGGAATGGAAGTAAGATTTGGGGATGGTAACTAGTGTCCTTTGGCGGGGGGGGGGTGTCTTTCCCTGGAAGGCTATCTTGGATCCCTGTCCCCTAGTCAGACCTCTCTCATTTCCACTATCCAAAGAATCTGCTTACAGCAAGATAGTAATGTTAAGTTGGGCAAGGGAACACACTCTACTCCCAAGATGGGTGGTAATTTAAACTGAGCTGCCAGGGCCAAGCATGATAGCTCATGCCTGTAATCCCAACACCCTGGGAGGCTGAAGCGGATGGATTGCTTGAGCTCAGGAACTCTCAGACTAGCCTGAGCAAGAGTAAGACCCTGTCTCTAAAAAACTAGCCAAGCATTGTGGCAGACACCTATAGTCCTGGCTACTCGGAAGGCTGAAGCAAGAGAATTGCTTGAGCCCAAGAGTTGGAGGTTGATGTGAGCTGTAACAGGACACCACTGTACTGAGGGCAACAAAGTAACACTCTATCTCAAAAATAAATAAATAAACAAAAAATGAACTGAGCTGCCTTTTCTTTGGGGAGGGGGTAACTTCTGTGCCTCCCTTGGGGCCTAGTGGTTAAAGGCTACTAGGAAGACGCTCTCTCCAAACCTTAATCCTGGAACCACACAGCCCAAGTTTAGGCTGGCAAGGGAAACTGCATTACTGACTGCATCATCTGATCTTCCCAGATAATGCAGGGCTCACATGACCCAGTATGTGCATGGAGTCATGATTTGCAAATAAGGTACAATCTAGAAACCAAAA